ACGGCTACATGCAAAAAAATAGGCTCAGAACTCTGCCTAACACCATGTACAAAAGTAAGATCAAAATGGATTAAAGACCTCAACATCAGACCAGAAACCATAAGGTACATTGAAGATAAAGTTGGCAAAACCCTCCATGACATTGAAGCTAATGGTATCTTCAAAGATGCCACGCCACTGGCCGAGCAAGTGAAAACAGAGATAGATAAATGGGACTATCTTAAACTAAGAAGCTTCTGCACCTCCAAAGAAACAGTGACCAAAATACAAAGACAGTCTACAGAATGGGAAAGGATATTCACCGAATACACATCTGACAAGGGGTTGATATCCAGGATATACAAAATACTGGTTAAACTCCACAAGAAGAAAACATCCAACCCCATCCAAAAATGGGGCAATGAAATGAACAGAAACTTTCTCAAAGAAGAAATCCGAATGGCAAAAAAGCACATGAGAAAATGCTCTACATCATTAATCATCAGGGAGATGCAGATCAAAACCACAATGAGATACCATCTCACACCTCAGAGACTGGCCCAAATTCAAAAGAACAAAAGCAACCGATGCTGGCGTGGATGTGGCGAGAAAGGGACACTCCTTCACTGTTGGTGGGAATGTCCACTGGTTCAGCCCTTCTGGAAAACAGTATGGACGATTCTCAAAAAATTAGAAATTGAGCTCCCATTTGACCCAGCAATACCACTCCTGGGAATATATCCCAGAGAGGCAAAAATGTATAGTCGAAGTGACATCTGCACTTGTTTGTTCATTGCAGCCCTCTTTACAATAGCCAGAAACTGGAAGAAACCTGAATGCCCAAGAACAGATGACTGGTTAAAGAAACTTTGGTACATCTACACAATGGAGTACTATGTAGCTCTTAGAAAAGATGAAGTCATGAAATTTACATACAAGTGGTACAATATGGAAAGTATCATGCTAAGCGAAATGAGTCAGAAAGAGAGGGATAGACATAGAAAGATTGCATTCATCTGGGGGATATAAAGTAACAAAGTATGAGATTAATACCCAAGAATAGCTGAGATCAGCACCAGGAGGATTACTCCATAACTTAGAGGCCAGCCGGGTATCCTAGAGGAAAGGGCTATTCAGATAGAGAAGGGAGCACCAAATAAAGGATGTTTGGAGGATCCTCCCAGGAGGGGAGATGCATGTCGAAAGTAGACTATGGACTGAACATGTTTGCCACTCAATGCCTCTTTTGCAGACCACAACACCCAAAAGGAGAGAGAGAACACAGGGGATTGCCCTGCCACAGAGACGGGGGGATGGGGGGATGGGGGTGGGAGGGATATTATCCATGGTGGTGGAAAATGGGCACTGGTGGAGGGATGGGTATCTGATCATTGTATAATTGAAACCAAAGCACAAAAAATTGTAAATCTACAACTTTAAAAAAAAAATAAAATAAAATAAAGGGGAAAAAAAAAAAAAAAAAAAAACCCAATGGACTAATGTTCTTTTCCTTCTACCTTCCACACCAGGCATTCGAGCCTCAACAATGTGAAGTAAAATGTGAAACCAACTTCATAACACAGAGAAAAGGCTTTTCAAATCTCTTAAATATTTTGAAGGCGTACTTGAGAAGTTTGCCCAGGACCTAACAATTATAATCTTGCATTTCTACAGCACCATCTTTGAGGAAAAGGATGGTTTCTTTTAAATTCAGTTATAGGCTGAAGAGATGGTACAATGGGTAGGGCACTTGTCTAATACATAGCTGATCCGCGTTCAATCCCCAGCATCATATAGTCCTCTAAGCATCACCAGAAATAATTCCTGAGTACAGAGCCAGTAGTAACCCTTGAGTATTGTCCCCTCTCCCCCGAAAATAAAAATAAACTCATGTTGCTAATGAGTGGATATAAATAAACTCATGTAGCTAATGAGTGGAAAACAAATATACCAGAATCTTTCACTTTTCTCCATGATGTTTGAGAAGTAAAGTTGTAGAACTAGCATATCTTTGAATTTTAATAATATTAAACAATTATTACACCAAATGAAATGAAATTTTGGATTTTTCTCATCCTTGACAAGTGGTAGAGACTTCTATGTAAATAATTGTAAATTTGTATCGTATATTCTAAAACATTACATAATTTAGTCCTCCTATTGTTTCTATAATGTGTGTATAATGCTCTTAATAATGAATTAAAGCTGTATACTACAAACAGGTGAAAGGTAATAGAAATGTAAGATCCTTATATATGTTCCCAAGGTCCATGTCTAACATAGAACACAGGCACTTTAATAAATATCAAAAATTATTCTACATATTAAAATTAATATTAATCACTTAATCTCTCATTTTGATCATGCAGACAATATTACTAAGTAACTCAAAATAAGATTTTAAAAATGCACATACTAGAACATCCCTTATTCAAATGACAAAAGGTTGCTGTCTACAACTAAATATGTGTTATAAAGTCTAAAAAGTATATATACACTGACCTGTCTGAAACATTTGAGTAATGCAAGAAGCTTAATTTACTTGTGAATTGCAGCAAAGGTCACTCTGGCATGTGAAAGAGTTGTTTGATTAGTTTCTTCATACACCAAGAGCCCATATCGCTTTCTGAAATGCTTCTGTGTTCAATATATTGCTTGAGCCATTGAGCACCAAATCTGATCCTGACACAGTTACTATACAGTCAATATATGCTTACTAAATGATGAGACTATCAAGACCGGGTTCATGGCTCAGAGACAGAATGTCATGCTCAGCATATGTGATACCCTGGGTTCAATTCCTGACACAACGATAGAAGTATTGAAACCGTTTTAATTTTTGATCTTTTTTGTGACTGGTTAAAATATTTCTCAGAGGTCTTTACCAGAATAGAAACCACAAATTTACTGAACCAAATATTTAAGTCATTGCTTTTTATTTTGAGAAGCTTCTCTGAGAGTTATAAGAGATCTTTGCAGGCACCAGAAGCTTAATCTGTAACATGGAAAAAGGAGCCCATATATACCAAAGAAATTGGAGGGGAGATAATGTTTACAAAGTTTCACTTCAGCTGAACTCATCCCCAAACCACATTTTATTAATATTATTAAAGCCTGGGCTGGAGTGATAGCACAGCGGGTAGGGCGTTTGCCTTGCACACAGCCAACATGGCCGACCCGAGTTTGATTCCTCCGTCCCTCTCGGAGAGCCTGGCAAGCTAACGAGAGTATCTCGCCCGCATGGCAGAGCCTGGCAAGCTACCCGTGATGTATTCGATATGCCAAACACAGTAACAACAAGTCTCACGAAGGAGACGTTACTGGGCCCGCTCGAGCAGATTGATGAACAACGGGAGGACCGTGACCGTGACCATTAAAACCTATTGTTATAACACTGGGTTCTATTATTCATAATTGTTATCGTCTAACATCAGTTTTAGTTCTAATTCTAAACAGAATGAATTTTTTGGATGTACTAATGCTCAAACACAAATTTTAAATATCTGTAAAATCTATATTAGGTCATGAAAATCAAGTTCTATACTATCATCAAAATCTAGTAGCTTAAGTTAGTTGTTTTATTTGCATGCAAGGTTAGCATGAATATCAAGGTTAGCATGAATATCAAGAGATTAGTCTATAAATATGAATGCCAGCCCCCAAATAAACCAATATAAGCCTCAGTAGATCTCTTTCTTTTGGGTCTAATATCCACCACATTGAAGAAGATATTTAGGATTTATAAGTTCTCCATGTTTTTATTCTTAGAAAATGATACACTGACAAGAAACCCAACATAAGTAAAAAAGCTACTTTTTTGAAAATTATTTCCTAACTCACCTAAACTTTCATTGTCAAAAAAGTGTGTGCTAAACAAGACAAAAACATAAGATGAAGTAAGGTTGGGTGTTGAAGTTTTAGGAAGAATGTAGAAAACCAAACAGCCACATCTACTGTATATGCTAGAAAGCAATCTGGTTTATTATTTATCAAACCAACTTTTTTGTGTGGCTCCAAGCTTGTGCCCATGGTCTCATATATACAAGCATATAAGGTAAAGGCCCTCCCGTTGATCGTCGATTTGCTCGAGCGGGCCCATAACGTCTCCATTGGAGACTTTGTTGTTACTGTGTCTGGCATATCGAATACTCTCGGTAGCTTGCCGGGCTCTCCGAGAGGGGCGGAGGAATCGAACTCGGGTCGGCCATGTTGGCCGCTTGTAAGGCGAACGCCCTACCCGCTGTGCTATCACTCCAGCCCTAGCGTATACTCAACCATTAAGCTACATCCATAGCCCTCCTTTTTGTTTCTTATTTTATCTATTTACTTTTGTTTGGGGGCCACACTCGGAGGTGCTCAGGTCTTAGTTTTGTGGTCAAGGATCATTCCTGGTGGTGCTCAGGGGACCATATGGGAATCAAACTTGGGTGGGTTGCATGCAAGGCAAATACTCCTTGTGCTGTTTTTTCAAGAGAAATTCTCTAAAATATAGTTGAAAAGGTTAAACGCAGGTCTGGGAGGATAATAAAAGATTTCTTTGGGGGTAGAAAATAGATAGAAGCACATTTCAGAGAGATGAAAGTATGTGAGCAAAGCCTATGAAAGTTCCGGCCATCTGTACTAGAAAGACCTCACATTTCTCAAACATCAAAGATCCCAAAATGAGAAGGAGTGGACCAGTGACTCTGAGGTAGCACAGTACCAAAGTCTGGGACTTTCAATTAGAAAATGAGATAGAAGTTTCTGCCTGAATTTCAAATGAAGTCTCAGAGAGTGACTGTAATTATGTCCTTGTCCTCCTAAAACTTTAAACTCAGGAGTCAAAAAGTGCTAGTGATGGCAGGCAATATAGAGAGAGCAAGAGGAAAAGACATTACCTAGCTCCTCCCGAGGCAGGGAGAGCCTCCCCTCAATACTGCACATTCCATCTGTAAACTCCAGCCCAGTCCACTGATGAATCTTCTTCAGTTTAGGTGTTGAAAAAGTATTTGAAAGCTGGTCAAGAAACTAAGTCACCCTACCTTGCTTTGGAATGATTTTGGTTACAGGGATGCCAGGACCACTTGATTGTAGGCTGAGGGATACCATAAATGGTACAAGTGAGGATCTGTCTGCTGCCCAGTGGGTAGAGTGCGAGTTCTGGGAACGATGACACAGACTTTTCGTAAATCTGGGGTTTCACTGGAAAGGAAACGAACAGAACAGAAGTTAAAAGCTGTTCTAACGACTTTCTTCTGGGTCTCAGCATGGAGGACTATATTCTTACAGTTTTTGATGTCAAGAAAACAAATGCATAGAGAGAAGAGTCAGACCAGCCTTCTTTGTCATTGTAATGCTGACTAAACAAAGTTTGGAGAATATAAAAAATTTAATTCTATGGTATACAATGATTAAAAAACCATGTCACTAATGGAAGAAATTCTCTGGATATAGTGGTGATGAGGCTATCAGTGGTTTTAAAAAATAAGTAAAAATTTGTTTTATTTGATGTTACAATACTGACTTCCAAATTCTTCCAAATTCTACCAAATTCTACCCAGAGACAGAAGGAAGTATGACCTTAAACTTACCATTGACAATGAGAGTGGCGGTGAGGTTTTTAACGACATTAAACTGCTTTATTCTCAGCAAGATTGTATAATCCCCAGAATCTTCTGCAGTTACATCTCTGATAATTAATGAGTAGCCACGGACCAAGTAGCGAGCGGATCTCTCAGTTGTAGGTAACCCGTCTTTTAGCCTGTGAATAAAGCAGGGTTAGTAAGTCATTCCATACCATCCCTCAGATATTACTTTGGCATCACTGTCATTGAAATTTATGAGGTGATTTGAAAGTTTCTGGCCTTTGATTTTCAGCACCCATTTTCACAAGCTAGATTTTCAGTACTGCTTTCAGTAGAACCAGGTTTCCTTGTTTTAGGCTGGAAAACATTCATATTTATTGGCAGAGAGGAAGAAGTGGGCCCAAGGAAGAAAAGCCAGCAATGGTTTAACATAGCTATGGGCAGACTGGCCCCTGTAACTTAAGTATTAACCCAGAAGCACTGGCTGATTCCCTCCGAGATGTTTTTCGGAGTTTTCCATGAGACTCCGTCAGCAATACAAGGGCCATTGTAAGTAAGATCAACTAGATCACTTCTCCAGATAAAAATAAAAATAGACCTTCCTATTGTGATCTCATGTGGAGTTCTTATTATATAAATGGTCACAGTAGTTGTCCCTTTCATAAGTTTTAGTAAAATCAAGATTATCAAGACTTTTCCCCTGAGGAAGAATTGTTAAGTCCCAAAAGTCACAAACAAAAGGTAAAACCTGGGAAAACAAAAAATCCTACAGAATCAATGCCCATCTATCGTGCAAGTGCCTCTGAAACAAGAGTCATGGACACATGCATGACCAACCCCTGGCTCTGTCAAGGTATTCTGCTGCCACTGACTTAACTCTTTAAGTTGCAATAACTACAAATTTTCTGAGTTTCTCTAGTTTCCTGATATCCTAAATATCAGGATTTCATTAAATCGCACATTTCTTCAAAGGGCATTTAGAATCTATGAGTTGTTCCAGTAAAGATGTTAACTCATGTCCATGCACTATTACTTAGTCCTACAAACAAAAGTGGTTGTGCTCTATTCAGTAATTACAATATAATCTTTGTATTGCTTTTCAATTACGTTCTATTGACAATCCATCTTTTTGAGTGAATTAAGTATTTGGGGGATTTTGCTACCTAGATACTGAAGAAACCAACACTGATTACTAGATAGGAGACGTAAGGATATGAGAGGGAATGCACTTCTCAACGAGATTCAAGTCCTATAAAGAGAGTCCACAAAATGGGAAGCGCTTGCCTTGTATGTGACTGATTCGGGTTTGATTCCCTATCACCACACATGAACCCCCCCCCCCAATAAACAAATAAACAAATTCTTATGAAGGAGTATTGCACACACAGGAAACTTATTATTGACCTTTTACAAATTGTGAGACAAAAAAACCCAACTCTTTTTTATGCCAATGGCATGAAGGACTATTGTACAAACAAATTTCTCTTGAATACTCTTGTAGCCATTTGAGGAAATGGAAAACTCACAGGACATTTGAAGCAAAATAAGCACTGTTGACATTTTAATATGACACCACTTTGATACTGTCTGGATTATTTTCCTAATAAGTTTCATTTTTCTATTTATTTGCATCTTTGGGCCACAACCGGGCAGTGCTCAGGGATTGTTTCTGGTTTTGCTTGAAAGGGCATCATGTGGTGCCAGAGATTGCATGTAAGTCTTCTGCATGCAAACTGTGTGCTTTAGCACGTTGGACTATTATCCCTCTGACCTCTCCCAATAAGATTTATATTACTGTTTAAAATATAATGCCTTGAGCCAAAGATACTGAGTTTTAAAAATGATTTACCCAACTGAATAAAAATTATAAACATATTACATTGTTTTACATCATGTGTTGTTCTAGTAGCACTGTAGCACTGTCCTCCTATTGTTCATCACTTTGTTTGAATGGGCACCAGTAACATCTCCATTGTGAGACTTGTTGCTACTGTTTTTTGCATATCGAATTGGTCATGGGTAGCTTGCCAGGCCTTGCCATGTGGGTGGAATACTCTTAGTAGCTTGCTGGGCTCTCCAAGAGGGGCAGAAGAATTGAAGCTGGGTTGGCTGCGTGCAAGGCAAACACCCTACCCACTATTCTATCTAGTATTTTATTTTATTTTGTTTTGGGAACACACCTGGAAACACACATCAGGGGTTACTGCTGGCTCTCCACTCAGGAATTATTCCTGGCAGTGCTCAGGGAACAGTATGGGATGCCAGGGATCAAAACTGGATCAACAACATGCAAGGCAAGGATCCTACCCACTGTGCTATCTCTCTGGCCCTATGTTCTAGTATTATTTGAAAAAACTGGTAAGGGGGCTGGAGGGTGCTCTGTGGGAGAAATGTTGCCTCTCTGTGGGAGAAGAAGCTGTAAATTGGATCCCTCATGCCTCCCACGGCCAGGACAATGACAGCAGGTCTGCTGTCTGGGACCCTCCCTCACCCATTATACACATGTGCCACAGAAGAGTGTGATATCCAAATACCACAGCCAGGTGTGTGCAAGCACCACAACCAAGTACTTGTGCTGTTTGATCGCAATGAGAGCTTGTTACAAAAGGGAAAAAAAACCACTCAGAAATTTTTTGGTTTGGGAAGCTTATTTTTTCAGGACAGTGTTGGGTTTGAGCCACGTCTGGCTGTACTCAGGGCTTACTCCTGACTCTGTGCTCAGAGAAAACTCTTGACAGTGCTCATAGGTAGTGCCAGGAATTAAATCAGGGTCTGTCACAAGCAAACCAAGTGCCTTACCTCTATCCTGTCTCTCCAGTTCTGCACAGAAATGTCTGAACATGCAAACTTTGAGCCAAAAAAATCACTTAGTTCAAATAGATTTATTTGTCTACTCCTGCAACTGAAATAGGTCTTGCCTTATGTTTAATTTTAAACAAGACTAGATCCTTGAACCCAGTTATATATAAATGAATTATTTTCTGGAGTAAAAGAATTGTTATACATATTACAAGGATGTATTTCTTCAGGGTTCATGGAGCACATTGCATATTTGATATGCTTCCTACTCAATGCTCAATATATCACATCCGAAGAATATTGATATCATAGATAGTAAGGTTTAGAGTCAGGAAAAGAATAAAAAAAATGACATGCAAACAGACAAACAAACAAAACACAACCTAATCCCCATATTAAATGTTCTAGTACACTGTTCCTGCAATTAAAAAAAAAAGAAGCATGCGCTCACACAACACACACACACACACACACACACACACACACACACACACACACAAATCCTTGATCTTCTTACATTATTCCCACTCCTGGTCCTCCACCCCCTCCCCCTGCTCTTCCTTCCTATCCTTGGTTCCCAGACCAGAAACCAACAGAGTTTTTAGTTCCCTGATGCTGTCTGGGAAGCTTATCTTGAGCTTTTGCTTCTTTTTTTCTCCCCACCCAGGAATTCAAGTCACTGGCCTCCTTCATCTTCCGATATACAGAGAAAATCTTTAACTGACAGAAATATGGAGGCTCCTACCACACAACTTCTGGTGAGGGGAATGCCTTCACTTTCATAAAGATCCGGTAAGATCGTCTGCCAGCCACAGTTTCAAGCACCTGCTCATCTCGATGCTTCACAGTGATGAATGCTTTATCTTTGAAAGAAGAGATAAATACATTAGAAAAGAAGAGCTGGAGAAAAGCACTCCCTGTCGGCAGTAGAGCATTCATTGGTTGATGTTAACTTACAATGACCCACACCCAAAGCTTCTATGTTATAATGCAATGTTATTTTAATAATAATAATAATATTAATTCTCTCCCTCATTAGAGGTTTCAACCAATGAATCAATAGAGGTGACATGATAATTAAACTTATCAAATATGGATCAATGAAAAATTTGAAAGTATCCTATTGCAATACCTTTAAATGAAATGGTCACAAGTTCTAGGAACAGAGAAACAGTGGCAGGACAACAGAAAATGAAACTACCAGTATTGTCTTTTTAAGCAGTAACTAAAAAGTAGCAATATGCTTTTAGAAATCTACCTGGAACTATGAGTGAGATGGGAGGGAACAGTTCCAGGCTCCCTGGAACAAGTAACTTGGTATTAAAAAAAGATCAACTGGAGAAAATCAAAAGAATAACAAATGCCACTGATAAAGTTGTCCCATTATTTCTGCTTCTTATTTTGTTTTATTTTTAACAGTGGACTGTCACTGTCCTCCCGTTGTTCATCGATTTGCTCGAGCGGGCACCAGTAACATCTCACAACAAATTGTGAGACTTGCTGTTACTGTGTTTGGCATATTGAATACGTCACGGGTAGCTTGCCAGGCTTTGCTGTGCAGGTGGGATACTCTCAATAGCTTGCCGGGCTCTCTGAGAGGGGCAGAGGAATGGAACCTAGATCAGCCGGGTCGGCCGCATGCAAGGCAAACTCCCTACCCACTGTTCTATCGCTTCAACCCTAATAGTGGACATAGATAAGATTTTTAAGGATTATGGAGGGGGGGGGGCTTATTTACTTTTGTTTGGGAGTCACACAGGCAGTACACAGGGCTTACTCCTAGCTCTGTGCTCAGGGATCACTCCTGGTATGCTCAGGGGATGTGATGCTGGGGATGTGATGCTGAGGCTGGCCATGTGCCAGGCAGGCGCCCTACCCACTATTTCAGCATCTCCTTAAATACTTTCTTTAGAGAATTTTCATACTGGGAGCAAGCAACAATATTAGGTTTTATGAGAGTAAGGCTAAGATCTCCAAGCCTGCTCGGAATGGGACTGGGCCTCCTCCACCCAGATCCCCCATCTTCCAGTAGCTAGACAGTTACACCCACCAACCGCCGTGTAACCCCATCAATGGCCAAGATCCAGAGACTATAAAACCAAGCTCTCAGAGCATTTGTGGCTGCGCGACCTCTTATTGTCTAGTTCCCACTCTCAGAGAATTCGACAGGCTACCGAGAACATCATGCCCGCATATATGACTAACTGGGAACACCTGTAAAGGTGATTAGAGGCTGCCCCAAAAGCCTCCATCCCTCTCGGAGAGCCTGGCAGGCTACCGAGAGTATCCTGCCCACAAGGCAGTCTGGCAAGCTACCCGTGGCGTACTCGATATGTCAAAAAAAGTAACAACAGTAACAATGATGGTCCTCATTCCCCTACCCTGAAAGAGGCCCCAATATATCATTGGGCTACACTAGCACATGACAGGGACAAATGGAGACATTACAAGTGCCCGCTCGAGCAAATCGATGTACAACGAGGTGATAGTGATAGTGATAGTGATAGTGATAGTGATGAGAGTAAAATCAGCAGTTAAATAGATCAATTCTAAATAACTTGTGACACCATTTTTTAAATTTCTCAGACTTAATTTCTCATTACTATTTAAGAAATTCCCCCAATAAAGATAAAATTAAAATTTTCTGACCTATAGGGAACACAAAATTTTTTCCTACAGATTGTTATACAATGCGACTGAATTATTAACCACAGTAACTTTGTAAGAAAATAGAAAGATTGTCCAAATGAAAAATCACTTAAATATGATTTTTGGAAGGGCCTAGAAGTGGGGATAAAGTGGTTTCTGTTCATGGCAGTGTGATGTTTATCAAAAATCCAAAAAAAAAAAAAAAATCCAACGTACTTTGTTCAGTAGGAACACCCGCACCCAACCACTCCAAAACCCACAATGATCTGAAAGAACTGCAGGGACGCTTACCATAGACATGCACTGAGGTGTTGGCAGATTTCAAAGAAGGGCCATTCCTCACGTGGCAAGTATAAAGTCCTCTGTCTTTGTGTTGCACTTTGTCAATCACAAGAACACTGTAGAAGACATTGAAGTTGGAATTGCTTTTGTCAAGTCTGTTTCTTATAGAGGCTCTCTGATGGGTCTGGAAAGAAAATACATAACAAATGCAAAGGTAGTCATTGTTTATATTTGAAGCAATATCTGTTCTCAGATCAATATTCTATGCTAAGAAACAAACCTGCCTAGAGCAAGGTTTTGGAAGCCACATCTGGCCAGATGTGCTTCTAAGAAGTAACATCATAGGGTTTTGGGTTTTTTTTTAACATTTAATTTTATTTATCTGGTTTTTGTTTTGAAGCCACACCTGGTGATGCTCAGGGCTTAGTGCTGGCTCTTCACTCAGGAATCACGCCTGTCTGGCTCAGGGGACCATATGGCGTGCCAGGAATCGAACTTGTGTGTAAGGCAAAGCACCTTACTCACTGTACCATCTCTCTTACTCCAATAGATTTTTTTTATTATAACACCAATATTTACCAAGTTGTTCATAACACAATTGTTTTAGGGATTAAAAATTCCAAAACCAATCAGAACACATGTGTAACTTTCCATCCACCAAAGCCTCCAGTTTCCCATCCACCACCCCAGCCTCACCCCTTATAGGCACAACAAATTTACTTTAAATTGTTTATTCCAACACAAAGGCAAAAAGAATCATCAAAACCTAGATCAGTAAGAGTCAATTTGTGATAATTGTTCAATCTCACAGTGATGCTACTACCATCACTGTCTTGAGGATGGTTGTGCTGGTTAGTGCTAGGTGAGCCTTCTGTGCCATTGTTTAGGCTCATTGAGCTTGGTGGTCTTCTATGCAACTTGCCCATAAGATTTACTGTGATCCTAGCTGAGTGTACTAGGAAATTTAGAGGTACAGGGCTATGCAGTTCAGGAGCTAGAAATCCGGAATAATTTGGTGCATTGGCAGTTTGATGAGATTTAGCAATGGAGCTGGGCTATTTCTATGTGGGAGGGTGTCAGTATGACTTCTGACAGGAAGGAGAATCTGTCTGCCCCTATATTTCGGGAAGGGCCCCGAGTTCTCAGTCTGGACTGGTCTTCCTGGAAGAGAACAGCAGCAGTTCGTTTTTTTGAAGACTAGAGTTGGGGCATTTCCATGATGGTGTGTGTGGGTGGGGGCTACTGGGTTTTCAGCGGCAAGTGTAGGAGGTGGCAGGGGAGATACTTTCTTTTTCATTTCATTGACATTTAGCATGCTTCAATTTTATATTCTTATCTCAATTGCTTCTCACAGCAATTCAGTGAAAATGGTAGGATTCTTACCTTTTCACAGATAAAGAAACTGAAGTAGTAAACATATTGGCCAAAGGAAGCACAGATCTCAGGTGTTTTTTTTTTGCCACACCCAGTATTGTTCAGGGCTAACTCTTGGCTCTGTGCTCCAAAGTGACTCCTGGTCGTGCTCAGGACATTGAAGCTGGGGATTCAAACTAGGCTCAGATGCATGCAAGGCAAGTAACTTAACCCCCAATGAACTCAGATCAAAACGAAAACAGAACAAATTAGTGACATCTCTTAAGACACATACACACTTCTCTAAACAGTAACCTGTTCTTAAGGCAAAGTTATCATAATAAAAACACAGAAGCCAAATACTCTTAATATCTAGCTTATTAACTGAGTTTTCTCTTAATAAATCACCATGGGAGTGTCTTTCTGCTCCCTCACTAGAAGTGAAAGAGAAAAGAAACTGTGTGCTACCACTATGAAGACACCTTCCAGGTTTTGCTATTTGCCTAGGTGAGTAAGCTTGGTAATTTCTACTTCATCACACTGAGTGGCCCTAAGGATATGCCAGAGGCATCAGCAAGGCTACGTGGGGGTGTGGTCCACGGCCAGCCCAGGGGAGCCAAAAGCAGGTCTCCAGGTTTTGTAAAGCACAGAAGCCACAATAATCTGCTTCTGGGTTTAAGAACATGAGCTCATATTGCTCTTTCCTTTCATTGTTCCTTCCTTTATTTTTTTTAGCATTACATTTTATAATACATAATATGTTATTTCCTCCTTTCAGTTCTTCCCCACGAGGAGGCATGGAAAAAAAGACTTTGGAAGTCATCCAGAACCAATTTGCATCTTGACCTTAGCTCTCCTCTCTGCCATGCTTAATAAACTCTCCCAACTGTCCTTTTGTTGTCTTGTTGAGGCAGACATACAGTTAGACCATTTTTTTGTTTTTCAGTAATAATCAGAGAGAAACGCCAGAAGCTCTTCCAAAACTCAGCAAAATGAACCCCCTCTCTGGCCCCACATAACCAATTGAAGGACTTTCACCAATGCTCTTCAGATTGGCATAACTTTTGGGAGAATGCTTTCCTTTCAAGTATGCTAATACTGGTAGTATTTTTGCCTTGGAAAACCAGTTCTTGTGTTTCAGAACTGCTTTGTCCAGCACTATGTCATAGTCGCTTGTGGCTACTCAAACCAAATTTGATTTCCCTGGACAGAACAGTCACATACCCAATGCTCAATGGCTGTAGCTGTCAACTGGGCAGCATAGATACAGCCTACTTCCAGCACATAAAGGTCATTGGCATCAGTTTAGATTATTGGTATCCAATTTCCTTCCTTCCTTCCTTCCTTCCTTCCTTCCTTCCTTCCTTCCTTCCTTCCTTCCTTCTGTTTACTCATGGCTCTGTACTCAGGGATCATTTCCTGGAAAGGTTTGGGGTCCTGGAATCAAATGCAGACTGGACACATGCAAGGTAAGTGCTTGAACCGTGGACTTTTTATTGACCAATCCCTCAATAGCCATCTTACTGTATCAACATTAACAGAAGTTTCTTCTCTCTTGGGATTTATTGAGAATCTCTAATTTCTATCACAAACCAGAAAACACTGTTACAATGCATAGCATTTTTAGTTGACAAAAATACTGCTTTCTAGAAAACACTTTATGACTAAAAAGTCCTTAATGTGTTCCTGCAGGGTACTTGCACTACCTTTTGGTTGTTAACTTGTTCTATTTACATAGCTAGAAATGTTGATGAAAAACAATTGCCTGGGCTGATACTGGAATATTTGATACTGATTTAAAAGCATGTTAACTTTGAGGCTGAACAACCCTAATGTTAAAACAAATGACTGGTCTCAGGACAAGCTACATAGACTTACTGAGACACAAGAAATGGGACTGGAATTACTGTCAAAAGTTTAACAGTGGCTCCAGAAAGATAATACAACAGGTAAGTTTGCAACAGCCTTGCACACGATTGATCTGGGTTCAATCTCAGCACCCTACATGGTTCCTTGAGCCCTGCCTGAAATGATCCCTGAGTGCTGAGCCAGGAATAAACCCTGAGCATCCCAGGTATAACCCAACTCCCCCACCCCCCCAAGAGTGTAGCAGTATATGATAGATTCTTCATCTGTGCATTTGAAAATAATTTGTTTAGTGGTACAATATGGAAAGTATCATGCTAAGCGAAATGAGTCAGAAAGAGAGGGATAGACATAGAAAGATTGCATTCATCTGGGGGATATAAAATAATAAAATATGAGATTAATACCCAAGAATAGCTGAGAGCAACACCAGGAGAATTACTCCATAACTTAGAGGCCAGCCGGGTATTCTAGGGGAAAGGACAATTCAGATAGAAAGGGGAACACCAAGTGGAGGGTGTTTCGAGGATCCTCCCAGGAGGGGAGATGCAGGTTGAAAGTAGACTGGACTGAACATGTTAGCCATTCAATGCCTCTTTTGCTGATCACAACACCCAAAAGGAGAGAGAGAACAAAAGGGAATGCCCTGCCACAGTGGCAGGGGGGGATAGGGGGATGGGGGGATGGGGGGGAGGGATATTATCCTGGTGGTGGAAAATGGGCACTGGTGGAGGGATGGGTATTTGATCGTGGTATGACCGAGATCCAAGCACAAAAATTTGTAAATCTACAACTGTACCTCATGGTGTTTCACTAATAAAAAAAAAATTTGTTTGCAAGTATGTTCAGTCTGAACACAGGAACCCAACTTAGAGTTCATTCTCATTTTTTTAAAGGACAGATTTCTTTTTGGACACTGAACAAATGGGACATTGGATGACTGGCCAGCAATATCCTTTCTAAATGAGCTTTGTTCAGGTGCCAGCCTGTGTGCCAGGATCCTAAATCAGTGCACTGACAACAATGTTTTGTTGTTGTTGCTACAAAAAATGGTGTCGACCTGGCATGTCATGATAAATTTCTTTCTCATCTCTAAATCCTAGAAAAGAGTTTTCCAAGGAGGAAACAATCCCTTTTCCTATCCAGAATCAAGCAACAGAAATACCAGCCTAAGTGCTTAAAAACAACAGCTCCAGACATCAAAAGGTTGTCTCTCTGTAGATCACACACAAAATACCCAGCAAGAAAACCAAGCCAAGCCCACAAGTGTCTCAGGCACTACAACTATACACAAAGTCAGAATATTCTCATTTTTTTCTCTTCAAAATCTCATTGGTGAGGGCTGGAGAGATAGCACAGTGACTAGGATGCTTGTCTTCAGGCAGCCAATCTGGGTTCAATCCTCGGCATCCCATATGGTTCCCTAAGCACCACATAGAGTGATTCCTGAGTACAGAGTAAACTCTGAACAGCACCAAGTGTGGCCCCAAACCCAGAAGGAAAAAAAAGCCTCTGTGGTTTCACTCACTAAAAATGAATACGGTCCCACAAAAGAAATAAAAAAATGGATCACTCACATCACCAGGGTAATGCCATGTCATCTGAACTCTTGCATTCAAGGGAGTGGTCGCAGTACAGTTGAGGGTAAGAGTGTGTCCTTTAAGTAATTTGACTGGGCCGGGCCTGCTCATGTGGACATCTAAGATGGTGTTGGCTGTCAGCAGAAGAAATGACATTTTTTAAAAATCAAGATCTCATTAAACAGATAATCTCTTGAGCATCTGGCATATGGTCAAGCTCTTGAAACATCACTTACTTTGTCGATATGTGAGATAGTTTGTTCGATACAAGTGCCCATTGATAGTAGTTTCACAAGCCAGAAGCCCAATTTCTTTGTAAGTGGCAGTAGATATTATAAAACCTTTCCTACTGTCCCAGGTTATCCTTTTCCCATCAGGGATAAGAGTCTCCATAGGAAGCTGAAAAGGAAGGAACATGTTTTAACGAAATTTGAGCACAACCACGATACTGTTTCACGAATCATTTGTGAGAGCTTAATTTTCATTTGACATAAAGAATTCCAGCTTGTTATCATCAGTTCATTGGTTTTCTTGGCATGAAGCAAGAAGCAAGATATAAATTTATTATACCATATAAAATTATTTACAAAACATAGCATACAGATTGTATCATTAATGTGTTATGACTTAATCAATTGCTCATTTATCAGCATTAGCAACAAGCGACAACTCCTGGGATAGACCTAGTTGGTATATCAGCTTCTAATGGGAGTTCCTATTTCTCTGGCTTCTGGGATTCTTTATAATAAATTGGCCTGACACTTGATCAAAAAACAACTGTGTCTTTTTTTACAGGGGGTTGGCCAGGCTGTCCTCATGGGTCTTGTCCTTTGAGCTCTTAACAAGACATAACTTGTCCTCCTGAATGATTTAGCAAATAGTCACCCCAAACAGTTACAACTTTCAGGTAGCTGTCAGTAAATTCCAGGACCTCAAGATCCATAGAATTAACTCAATTAGGTTTTTATTCTGATTGGGACAAAGGCATTAGCTTTGCCTTTGGGAGAGCAGAATCTATGGTTGCTAAAAATGGACAGCCTGGTGGACAGAGGAGGCCAGAGGGACACAAGGAACCAAGGCCCCCAATCTCCTTAAACTTTCTCCAAACACAGCAAGTCAGGACAGAAGAGAAGAACCCAGTATTTGATCTCCCCACTGGCCTTCGTCTAGATTTTTAAAATGTTCAAAAACTAAAATATAAACTATATTCCTTGGGATTAGATTTTATAAAAGTTCATTGCTCCATACAGCTGCTCTGCTAATTCCCCTGATGCCAGGTTACTGATTCCATTTTAAGGTGGTACCTTTTGAGTACCACCATCACTTACTTCAAACTAGAAATGGGGGAAAAAAAAGGTCAGGTTACTTTACTTTTCCACAGCAGACTGAAAAGGAAATGCAAAATCACTATAGAGAAGTATTGATTCTGTTCTATCTGTTAGAAGTGCACCTGTTGAAACTCTCTCACTCCTCATTTATTTACACTGCTTGCTGAAGTACCTCATCAGGCTGAGATTTCTAATCCAAGGACACAATTTCTATTCCAAGAGTGAGTAGTGATTCTCTAAGAGTGTGTTTGTGCATCTTGGTACATGTTTCCAGAGTGTTACTTGGGTTTGAAGTGAAGGATATCTCACTTATGAAAGAACTTAAAACCTGCAATTTTGAATTAATAAGAATGAAGTCTACCTGTATTATGTTTACAGGCAATTTAGTGGAGGAGTAGGAGGAAATCCTCTCTTCTAATTTGATTCAAATTTTTAAAGGAAGTGTTCGGAAATATTAAAATTTAGGAACTGAAATCCATGAAGCTTTAAAAGTATGGGAGTGTGGGGCGGGAGAAACAGGACAGTGGGTAAAGCTTTTGTTTTGCATGTAGCTACCCTGGGTTTGATTCTGATGGACTTTGTTAGCACAACTTAAAGATCCATGAACATTTTCTCCAGCGTCCCTTTTACTCAAATCGAACCATTAGTAGCAACGGCAGTGTTCCATTGCCAACATAACTATTTCTGACAAGAACTCATCCATAGTGGGCCCAAGTGTCATAAAGACACAGCAGGTAGGCAGGTTTGCAGGTAAGCACTGTACAGGGGGGATATCTTCAGCTGACAAGTGCTTTGCGGAGTAGTCATGGGAAAAGGAAAGAAAGGAAGCCGCTTAGAGACAAAGGGACAAGAATAAAGATGGAAGCAAAGGTCTTGCATGTACCAATTTATGTGGGCACACATATGTAACAGGTGTGAATAGCTTCTCTGTCTATATATATGCCAAGACAACATCCCTGCTAGAACTACATGCCCCCACCCCCCACACACACTCTTCTTCCTTCTGTTTTCGATTCTGGATCTAAGCTGGAAAAGCAGAGCAAACAAACCTTCCCCTGTGGCCCAATTGTCCCATGTGGCAATTTTGGGTTGCTCCTTATGACAGCCAAGCAGTCCTCACTAGGATGAAAAGGCAAGGGGCTAAAGAGAGGTGTTCCATAACCCTATGGTTTGTTGTATTAGTCATAATCATAGACCAAAAATCTTGGGTTAAGGGTAGTACCAAGCCCTTGAAAACATGGCATGATAATAAATCAATTGCTGGGTGCCAAATCTTATATTAATAATTCCTAACAGCGAATCCTTGACTTGTCTTGGTATCTCATGCTGGGTACTGTTCTAGGTGTTTTCCATAAATCACACCATTTAGCTTTCTGAACGAGCTCATGGGGTGAATGGTGTGGCTGCCACTGGACCTCTCAAATGAAGAAGGGGCAGAAAGATCCAAGAACATGCCAGTAGTTCGGATGTGAAAGACTAATAATCCAGATAGTGTAGCAATGACCTCAACTCCTAATCACTCTGGTCTTCTATGTGATCAGACCATTCACAAAAAGGGCAAGCACCCCAAGCTGGAGGCATGGGATTAGTGCAAATGGTTGGGAAGTCCCTCGTTCCCTGGGCACCTCAATTTTTATCACCACTGTTTGAGTTTCATGCCTCTAGAGTCTCCAGTTTTGATGTATTTCCTGTATTTCCTGGCAATGACACAAGTGCATTGGGGAAGCCCAAATCTCTCTTCAAATGACTATATCGAGGGCCTTGATCAGATCAACTGCAGAGTTGGTGCCAGGGACGGATGCAGGGAGGCAGCACCATAACCATTTCAGGAATCAGGGTCCACAGGTGATAATGAAAAGTCATTCTAATCTCCAAGTTCATTATCACCACCACCACATCCACATTTCTAGAGCACTTTCTATGTGATAGGTAGTGCTAAATGCTGCACTGCAAGAGCTTTAACTTTTCCATTAAAATTCTAAGCTCTCAGTATTTGCTGATAGCACAGTGGTAGGGCGTTCGCCTTACAAGCGGCCAACATGGCTGACCGGAGTTCGATTCTCCTCCGCCCCTCTCGAGAGCCCGGCAAGCTACCGAGAGTATTCGATATGCCAGACACAGTAACAACAAAGTCTCCAATGGAGACGTTACTGGGCCCGCTCGAGCAAGCTCTCAGTATTTAATAATCTTTAATTTGGGAAGTTTTTATTCGATAACTTATTTTAGCTATTCCTAAACTCTTAAGGCTAGGGGATTATTTGCAATGTTACATGTTTGGTTTCTGTCTTTATTAGATGCTACCCTAAATCTTTCTCCTTCTCTACATGCACAATTTACATCATAAGAAGAAGAATCTAACACTTATAGTTTCTTCCTTCAACCTCCCACTCACATTTTTTCCCTCAAAGGAACAGGTTTGGATGCTCAGCTGGAGATAAGCCTTTCCCTACCAGGGACTTCTCAATTCAGATGAAAAGTGATGGTTCCCATTACATTAGGGAAGATTCCATTAATGCCCTAAGAAGAAAGTGGTCTGCCTGACAGTTCCATCTTCAGGAAAAATCTGAATGACAAACTCAGCCAACTCACTAATTTGAGTAAGCAATAGATTTTATTCTCACATTTTCAGACATTTGGATTTGTGGTACTATGTAAAGATGTTCATGATTTTAGTTCCTTCCTTGTATGGATTTATGCTAAAGCCATTATTACTTCATCCCATTTGAACACACGAATGGGCATAACTTCTGGCCCTAGTAAAATGATATTACAGAAAAGTTTAATGAGAAGTCCAAATATCTCTAAGACAAGTAGTACAGAGAGATAGAATGACTAAAAATTCACTATGTGTATTAGCAGTCAAAAGATTCTAAGAGTATTGTTGTCCAGGTTTACCTTTTTTAGAGTAACAGTAATGTTGGGTGATGAGACCCGGCAGGGTATGATGAGCTCCTTTCCTTCAGTCATATACAGAATTTCAGGGATGTCACTGTGCATTTCTATGAAAGGTCTACCTGTATCTGAAGAAGAGAATAAAAAAATACATATATAAAAATGATCACATTACAGATATGCATACCCTGTAGCTGGTGAAGTAGTATGGGCACTAACACAGCTCACTTCTCCTCAATATAATCATAAATTTGCATTTTTGTCTCTGAATTTAGCCCAGGAAAAATAATTATTTTCTCAGAAAACCTAATTCATTTCCCCGCACAGATTTTGGCCTTTGATCAGACTGTCCAGGTACTCTAATAGTCAACTGGGATGGTGTGCGTTTGTGTGTGTGTTGTGTTATGTGTGTTTAGACACAATGAGGAAAAACCCTAAAAGTACAAAGATGAAAATGTAGTGTTCTTGCATCAGCTTCTTTGCCAGCCACTATGCTAAATGCCTCAGGAAGTGCCCTCCAGAGCCTTTGTAAATCAAAGGGCAGGGATGCAGTGGTCAAGTGCCTTAGGAGCACAGGTGACAGCAGAAAGCCCAGAGGCAGAGGCCTTAAGTTAGAGAGATTAGCATTCGAATGAGAGCAACAGTTTAAAGGTTTCTGGATGTTTCTTGGCAGACTAATAAAGAGGGCCTGAGTTACTGAATGAAACAGTCTACTTCACTGTCTTCATATGCATATTAGGGTTGCTTCGGTCTGCACTGCAATGATCTTCATAGCAAAGAAGGTGCAAATGTGTGCAAAGATGTCTAGGAAAGGTTTTGAATAATCACAGAGAGATCACCCTTTAAAAATATGGTAGTTGGCCAGTTTCTAACAATAGAATTGCAACCACCTACTCAGCTGCCATGTAATTTTCTGAGACCAGAATAAGCATCAGATCTCTTTGGAAACATTTAGCATAGTCTACCAAGCCTTTTTCTTAGGAATCCACTGGAATCCACAAGGATGTCTGAAATTACTGAGTTCTCAATCATCTCCCCTTGGCTTTAACTGTACTATGATAACAACTGTTTCCATCAAGATCTGAAAAAATAGCAAGCTTCTACCTGCTGTCTATTCCAGAGTTCATTCCAGATTAAGAATGAATTGGAGAGAAACAGCAGCAGTGAGTATCTAAAGGCTACCTGGAGAAAGTGCTAACTTCAGAGATTGAAACAGGTTGATCCCCAAAACTGATTCTAACCTGAAGAACTTCAAAATGTGACCTCATTTAAGTCAAATAAGGTGACTGATGATGCAACTACTTCAGTTAGGGTGGGGTCAATCTAATCTAAAGAAACAGGTGTGATTTCTAAAACAGTCAGAGGAAAGCAGAGAGATAAGATCTCACCAACATAGTGAGACTGGTGAGGTTCCTTAGACAGCAAAGGAAACCAGACAGAGAGGAGAGTGCCACATGATATTCAAGGCAGATATTGGCTAGACACAGCTGCAAACCAAGGGATGCCAAAGAGCGTCATCCATGGCCAGGAGGAAGAATGGTCCTACCTACACCTCAAAATTTCAGACTTCTAGAACTGTAGGTCATGAGATTAAAACACCTCACAGTTGTACCCAGCAGCAGGATGTTAAAGATTGGGGTAGTTCAACATACAATAGAGAGGGCTCTGAAAGATCCTGTCAGCCCATCTTAGATGCCGGTAGACACAGAAAAAGTTCACTCTTGTCCTTTGGCAAGCTGTGTTAGTCCATCCTGTCCTTCTTATACCCTTCTCTGCCCCAGTCCAACTAGGAGCTCTACCAGCACTCTGCAGTACCCCCCAAACTATGAAGCTTACTTCTCTGGTTACACACAGATGAATTCCTTGAGTAGAGGAAACTGATCATATTCGTCTCTCATGTGCATTACATGAAAGAAGAAATAAACAAAGGGATGGCTATATAACCTCTTATTGTACAGACTAGAAAACTGGTACAATGGGGTAAAGAGAGCTGTCTAGCTGTGAGCAGAGCCAGGCCTGGAAGCACAGCTCCTCCTGACCTCCAGTCAGCCTTCCTCCAGGACACCCTCTGGGCTGGGTCACAGGCCTCCTTTTCTTGGGGGTAGAGGCCCCTAAGAGAAGAAAGACAGGTAGAAATGATTGCTCAGAGAGAGGCTGACTCAACATGTTCCATGAGAAGTCCATGCCATGCCATGGGATCTAGGGTCAGAGAAGCCTGAAGTTGGTCATGGGCAGTCCTGTGAAGGTAGATGCCAATAGGAGCTTTATAGAGCTTAGAGTGAAAGGATCCCATGGGGAAGAGTGTATGCTACCACCTGAATTTGAATGAATCCTGAATTCCCCTGACTAGAGAGGTGAGAATTTGTGCAAAGCATTTTACTCTCTGTGTCCCATTTGCTCAGAGTGATAGCACAGCAGTAGGGTGCTTGCCTTGCATGCAGCCAACATGGCCGACTCGAGTTCGATTCCTCTACCCTTCTCGGAGAGCCCGGCAAGCTATCGAGAGCATCTCGCCCGCACGGTAGAGCCTGGCCAGTTCCCCGTGGTGTACTCGATATGCCAAACACAGTAACAAGTCTCATAATGGAGACGTTACTGGGCCCGCTCAAGCAAATCGATGAACAATGGGAGGACCGTGACCGTGACCATGTCCCATTTGCAAAATCTTCAAAGAGTTAAGATGAGGATTATAGAAAGTAACAAATGTACAACATTTAGAATGGTACCTAGCAGATAGTTGATCTATACATTAATTAGTTGTTCTGAGACTGGAACTTGTAAAGAAAGGGGATTATACTCAGAACTCAATGATAAAAATACAAATATAAATATATATTCAATAATGGCACAGACAAAACGGCAATATTCACAACTGTCTCTGAGCAGTGGCCTTAGAGGTCATTGTTAGTTATGTATTTGCCTTCTATATTTGTTAACTTTTCTAGAATAATCATCAATTATTGTACAGCAACATTTAAAAATTATTGAATTTTAGACTCAAATTAATAAGTATCATATATTTCTTACTTGAGGAAGATGATGTTTTTTATTTTATTTAGTTTTGTCCCAATATAACAAAGTGATGTAATTAGGTATTGTAACTAATTATATATGCCCATTAAGAAAACCCAATAGTGTATTACATAGAGACACTTATCAGCACAAAATTCCTCCCTTAAATAAAGTTGCTGAGCTAGACATTCAGTCAGGGACTATTGGGATTTGATCATTCCTTTCCTTCCTCCCATGAGTCTACATTTTTGTCTCCCTTGTGAGTCCCAAGGTAAACACAAACACCAGGAAATGGTTTAATTCATATAACTAAACTGTAAATCCTTCACATTTAATTTACTATCTCTTTCGGTAACTGTTTTCAACAAAGGATACTGACACAGAAAAGTTCCTACAGGAAAGAGTAAGAATCAGTACTATGATTTCTAGGCTAAGGAATACCAATGCCAAATGAAAATAGAAGAGATGAATTTGATGTGCACTTGAATTTCTTTTATCACTTGAATTTTACAATAGCTATTGGCCTTTAAAAGTCAATAGCAATTTTAACTGTGGACACACGGCAGTTCTGTTTATATAGACCACAACTTCAAAGTTAGTGTTCATCCCAACGTGATTCAAACCATATCACTGGTATCACAGCTAATAGTGGCATCATAAATCTACTGTTTGCAAATGAGCTTATGGTTATGGATACGCACATGCACACATACACACGTCCACACACAATGTTCTCCGGACTTATTAATAGTATATTTCCTCTGCAATTTACTTCAAGGAAGGGCTAAGAATGAACTTGCCTGACATATTATACAAACAGTTTTTGTTTTGTAGGACCATAGATACAGAAGAGGTCATGGTTCCATTAATATCACCAGTAAAACCACTTACTTCTCCCAGAGGACACATTTGTCTTTGTCACAAAAATTAAAAATTACTTCCAAACCCAGCCAGCACTGCAGAGTAGTTTCCTGAGACCAAATTGGCTGGTTGTTGAAAGAGTGAGGAAGAGCTGCTCCAAATACTGCCGGTGTACCGACAGCACAGACACCGGGTCACCTGGGACTCGTGCCAACATGCAGCTAGGTAAAGGTCACGCCACCTTCTCCTCTCTGAACTCCAAGGGCTCAAAGCAGTGACAGGAAACTGGCACCGAATATGAGACTTTTCTCACCCAGTGGGAGTATCAGGGCTGTCATACCTGAAGACAACAAGTGGGCCTGGGCACAGGAAAAGATCAAACGGGGACCCTTACTCAGAATGGCATTACATCTATTTTTCAAATGTGTTTTTTCCTTTTGAACTCTGTAGTCTCCCATCCACATTAAGACACACAGACACAAAGGCTCCAGCATGTTCTCTGCATTCCACTCCATTTCTTGCTGGTTACCACCTGCAAGTTCTGAGTTTGGGTCGAGAGATTAAGAAATATATGAAACATTTCTGCCTTTAAGAGGAGTACAAAATAAATATGTTGTTTTTAGCCACTTGTTGTATGAGTTTTACAAGCTTTTTCTGATTTCCTCTTGATTTTTTATTTTCTTACCTTTAAATCTTAGTGGGAAAGACTCACAATTATTTTAAGGGAAGTTGAATGCAAAAGGATGAGAAAGTAATTAACTAATAATCCCACGAAGAGGGGTTTGTTCAGACTAGAGTTTTCAGACAGTGTAAGTCTTTATGTTATGGGTTATACCTAATGGCCAAGAAGAGAGAGTTGATCACATTTTAATTTGTAAAACTTTTCATCTGAGAATAAAAGAAAGGAAATGACAATATATTCACTGATTTACACTGTCCAAAGCCTTAATCAAAGACTTCTGTAGAATAGAAGAAAACTATTGCAGAATCTGAAATCGCTTTACTAATATTAGGCAAAATAAGCCTGAAAATAAGAAATGTTACTAGCTATGAAGTGGGACACTTTTATAATAATAAGGTCAATTACTATAAATATATCTACAACAAAGCACCAAAATACATGAAGTCAACCTGATAGAAATAGAGATACACATAGCTTAAAAGCACTGATGAACATGTCAATAATTTACTTTCTATAATTGCTAGAATAACTAGACAGAAGATAAAATGGAAATAAAGTACTTGAAAAATGAAT